TTCGACCTCGATCAAACAACGACGGGTTAATATTTCGACGAAAGATCGAAATAACACCGTTAAGGCCAAGGGCCTCCGCCAAAAAGAAGAGTTCGACCTCTCTCGAATGACAACGGGATAATATTTTGACGAAAGATCAAAATAACGCCCTTAAGGCCAAGGGCCTCCACCAGAAAGAAGAGTTCGACCTCGATCGAACAACGACGTGTTAATATTTTGACGAAAGATCGAAATAACACCCTTAAGTCCAAGGGCCTCCGCCAAAAAGAAGAGTTCGACCTTGAAAGAAGAGTTCGACCTCGATCGAACAACGACGGGTTAATATTTCAATGAAAGATTGAAATAACACCCTTAAGGCCAAGGGCCTCCGCCAAAAAGAAGAGTTCGACCTCGATCGAACAACGACGGGTTAATATTTCGACGAAAGATCGAAATAACACCCTTAAGGCCAAGGGTCTCTGCCAAAAAGAAGAGTTCGACCTCGATCGAATAACGACGGGTTAATATTTCGACGAAAGATCGAAATAAAACCCTTAAGGCCAAGAGCCTCCGCCAAAAAGAAGAGTTCGACCTCGACCGAACAACGACGGTTTAATTTTTCGATGAAAGATCGAAATAACGCCCTTAAGGCCAAGGGCCTCCGCCAAAAAGAAGAGTTCGATCTCAATCGAACAACTACAGATCAATATTTCGATAAGAACCCGAAATAATACCCCTAAGACCGAAAGCCATCACTGAAGATAACTAGGACTCGCGACAAGATGACACTTTGATAAAAGCTCGAAAATAAAATCCCTACGGCTAAGGCCGTTATTAGAAAGAGAATCTGATACCATCCACGCTCTTCGTAATTTTGATACTCCACGCTCATCGCCTCGACCCTGATAAGGTTCTGATCCATCTCTGATTGCATAGACCTCAACTTCTCCTGAAGATGTTCGCACTTGTAGCAACCCCTTTACCCAGCTCAAGCTCTTCATCCTTGGCACGAAGTTGCTCCTCGAGTACACTACTCCTGCGGATAGCCTCCATTAGTTGTTGGTCCCTCTTCTCCAACTCCTCGCAAAGGGATCGAGCATCAGGGTTTGCCCTCAGCCGCTCGTGCATCTCACGGCACTTATCGCGATAGCGCTGATATTTCCCCAGCATCGTTAGGAAAATCTTGGCCCGAGTATCAGCTCTGCGAGCACTCTCAATCTCCACCATGTACGTCTAGAAAACAAAAAAAAAACAGGCTAAGGCCAGGCCGGCAAGAAAAACGAAAGGAACATAAAAGGAAAGTGAAACGTACCCTCAAGCCCATAGCGGCCACTTCGTGCATCAAATCAATATCGGGAACGTTTCGGAGAGCCTCACCCTCGCCGGCGAAGCACAAGAGGTCAAACTGCAGCACCAGGTCCTCCGTATCTCCCAAAAGGTTGATATCCGACGGAATCTCTTGAATACGGGACGACCCTCCCGCCTGAACCACCGAACGGGTAAAACCCTTCAAACATCCTAACATCATCAGGATCAAGATCAGACTCGGATTCGTAGTCGTCGACCACGACACCCTTTCCCCTTCCTGCGGTCGAGGAAGAAGCACGACCAGGTACCGAGGACGAAGGTTCGTCCAAAGTAGTAGCAGCAGCCTCAGAAATTTGACCCCCCATCGCGGTCGGTGGCAGATTAATCACAGCGGCAGGAACTTCGGTCGATGGGTCGGACATAGTAGCTGGAACCCTCTCTATAGGCGGAATGGCATCGACTCCCGCCTCAGATCCCGTCAAGGAAAGGTCTTCCTCTAAATATATCACAGCTGAAGGAGCCATTTCGAACTCCACTCGCCGCCTCTTCGATGACTCCTCCCTTTCCTCGACACGGGAAGATTCCCTCACTAAGGAGGTAACAGGGGCTGACCTCTCAGGTCAAGGGGTGACCTCCGCGTGTATGGCCGTAGTCGTAGATTCGACTGAAGCGGCCCTTGATGAAGGTCGGGCAGTAGATGCCGAAGCAGGACGAGCGGACGAGGCATGTTGACGAAAAGCTAATGGAGGAGCCCTCACTCTCCGCACTCTTTTTGGCATCGCCAAACATCACATAAGGCACCAAGTAAAAAGAGGAGAAGGAATAGCGAACAAAGACAATATTACTCACCAGTAAGGGGCTTGCGTCCATATTTCTCATAGAAATACGACCATGTACGGACACCCGCTGTATGAGGAAGGATGGCGCTCACCCACTCGCGGATACCATCAACAGGTGCAGGAGGTAGCTTCGCGGCTGTAAAAACACAGTTTAGTATTACCCAAATAAAAAAGCAGTCAAACATTATTCCGACAAAAGGCATAGAAACTTACGGGCGAAGTTCCATTTCTCAGGGAACCCCGTAGGATCCGCCACAAGGTGTTCGGTCCGCACATAAAAATAATTCTCGTGGAAGCGACGGTTGGCTCTATCGTCCATCTTCACCACCATACTCTTCGACCCTCGGTGGCGTATGTGAATCATCGTGCCATGAATGAGTTGAGGGGCTAAAATATTGAGCATATGCCCCAAAGTGATCTCACGACCAGCAAGCTCCGCAAACTTATGCAGCATGAGGAACAATTTGTATAGGTACGGCGAAAGCTGCGCTAGGCATACCTCGTAAAAGCGGCAGAAATCTACCACCAAGAGAGGGAGAGGAAGCGTGTATCCGACAATAAAGAGGTAGGCGTAGAACGCGCAATACCCTGGGCGGTCAAAATGGACTATGTCGTCCCCACCGCCGGCAGTATTTCAATGTGGCGAGGGATCCCCCACCTAGCCTTCAGTTCTGCGATTCCCTCCTCAGTTATGAAGGACGGAGCAGGTTCCGGCTCCCCCCCCCCGGCGGGGCTGTGAAAATCGCTCCACGTTTTTCTAGGGCGAGGCAAGATTTCAGCCACCGACGGAACCTCCTCATCTTCTACCACTTCTGCTCCTCCAATGGCCAGAACATCATTTTCCGGCGCCGGAGTTATGGCAGAAAGGTCAGCGCGAGAAGAATCGCCATCCATTTGAATCAATTTGATAAAGCAAGATGATAAAGAAAGGAAAGACGAAAATTCCTGGCCAACTAAAGGAAATCAAAAATCCGAAGTGTCGGGAGGAAAGAGGATTCGCAAAGTTTTCTTAAGCAAAGGCAAAGAATGTGTCAAATCGAATGGTGTAGTCCTATTTATAAGAGACATAAATTTTCCGAGCACGAAATCCAAGAGTCGCCAATTGAAGTTGATAGGGCATAAAACGGTTCAACCCCAAGGAACCTGTGTCATAATGGCAGGTAACCATAAACAACGCTTCAAGACAAACGATGTTCAGGTTCCGAAACGACCGAAATGGTTCGAGGATATCGAAAAGATGCCGTCACATTGCTAGAATCTAAAGCCCATACCCAATGGGTAGGTGATTCTCTTAGATATGTAACAATCATAATCCGCCTACCCGGCCCGACAAGAGGCGACCCCGGTAGACGAAAGGACTAACTGTATTGGTCAAAATCTGATCGCTGCAGTCGGCCTAACCAAGGTCCTGACAAGATAGTGAAAGACGACATGGTTTGCTCCAAAATCCCGTATTCATAATGCCCGCCGTGACAAAGAACGACACTCAAAGAACGACGAAAGCGGACGTTGTGCGAATTTGTATTGACCCGTAGTGAGGATTCCATAACTATATATAGGGGAGGAGTCTCTCAATGGAAGGGGGGGGGGGGGTTTCTCTCTCTTATCTCTCCTCTGTAATCTTCTTAGAAAAAGGAGCCTTCCCATGGAAGATGGAAAACAGTGATCTTCATCGATTAATGAACGAGGAAATGAAAAATATCAATGAGATTGATCATCCCTACTTCATTTTATGCATTATTTCTGATTCGCTTATAGATCTGGAGGTTATTAGCCTTGACTAAGATTTACCTCTTCATTCTCTTTGATTGATTTGTTCAAAAAGGTTCCAATATCTTTTGAGTCAAACAATGTTCAAATCATATTTCTGTAATTTTTTGCAGTTAAGTTGCTCCTAACATTTGGCTAGTTGGGCTTGATTCAATCCAAAAATTGACCACTACAGCATCCACAAATTAGAAGTTGCAAAAGTTATGAAAGTTATACTAAAAATACTATTTTTACACAAAGTTGACCCTACTCGAGCTTCTAGTGAAATAGTAGCTTAGAATGTGGTTTAAGTGAAGATTTTCAAATCTTAAACTTTACTTATGAATTATGAGAAAATAACAAAAATAGTCCATCATCTTTGCTAGTAGATTTAAAGTAGTCCCTTAGTATTATATGGATAGTTTTAGCCCTTTAATTTTATCGAAAATGAGTATTTTTGGTCTCCATCTATCAAACTCTAATTGTTACACGAGACACAAAAATAGACCAAAATTAAAAAAAAAAAAAAAAAAAAAATTGCACCTTAAGAGGCTGCACCAGCCTCCAGAAAAAAATAAAAAAATTGCTGAAATTGCAATAACTGCACTTCCAAAATGTGAGAGTCTGTTTAATATTTTCTTAATTTAACAATTAGAGTTTGATAAATACTTAATGGAGACAGAAAGCACTTACTTTTGACAAACTTAAAGGATAAAATTTGTTTACGTGATGCTTAAGGGACTACTTTGAACCTAATACAAATGATAAATAGAACTATTTTTGTTATTTTCTCATTAATTATCAACTTCTGCAAATATTTTGTTCAAGTTTTTGTCCAAACACTATTACTACAAACTTTAATAGAAACAAAACTCAAACTAACGGTGCTTCAAATTGCAATCTTTTGTTTTTTCTTTTTTAATTTTAACCTAAATTTTCATTCGCCAGCCAAAAACCATATAAAATATTATATGTATATATACACATATTAAAAATATATATTTTATCGACTATTAGTATTAAAACTACTAAAAATCTCAATTTTGAAAGACGTCGTCGTAATTGGCTCACATGTTATGTCGCACAAATATGACCGTTACAAAGGAAGCCAGGAGAGAGAGATATCTTTCTATTCAAAAATTGACATTTTTAACGACTCCACAATTGCTACACCGTAAGCCATTCCCTCTCTCTCTCTTGGGGCATATACAGGCAACATAGGGGACATGGCGATTGCAGCGGAGAATCAGCCACAGCAACACAAGGTAACAATTTCTCACCAAATTATTAAGAAAAAAAAAAGTTATTAACTTTTATTTCCTATTAATTTTTATTCCATAAGGGCTAGCTCACGGAATTTTAGCCAAATTGACTTATCAGCATTCTCTTATGTTTGATTTCCATGTTGCGATGAGCGAATTTGTGGAATCCCTGTTGGAGTAATAAAGTTTTTTTTTCTTTTTCATTTCTTATTAGGAGGTAGACAATTATTTTTTTCCGATTTCATGATTGGTATTTGGAACAAAATTTAGTATAAATTGGCAATTTTGGGTTGAATTTTCAGTTAACTGAGATCTAAGAATTAGGTCTGTGGATCAGGGATTTCCCACGGGAAAATTTTGACAAGCTATGGAACAAAATGGACTCGTTGACTTTCTTTAGCTCTCTTATTCATGGTTATGGAATTATAAGAACTTTGCTGCTTTAACTTTATTCTATAGAAATATATGCTTTTTTCTGTAAGTTTTTCCTTTTGTGAACTGGGTTCATTACAATTATCAACTTATGCAGGGTTCGTCTGAGGGCGCAGTGGTGGATAACAAGAGATGGACTGTCAATGATTTTGACATTGGAAAACCTCTTGGAAGAGGAAAATTTGGTCATGTATATTTAGCTAGAGAGAAAAGGGTTAGTGCATCAGAGTTCCAGTTTCTATGTTCTAGATTATTGGATAATTATTAGTTTCAATTACTCTACGCTTTTCTAGTTGGTAATTCGACATATATCTTTCATCCTCTGTAACGTCGTTTAATGGGAATTTGTCGAGCACGTGATCCTCCTCATCGTTCATTCTTCAGGGAAATCAAAGTTTTTTGGGTTATAAATGAAAAAAAAGAAACTATTTAATAGTAATACTTATTTGGGTTATAAATGAAAAAAAGAAACTATTTAATAGTACTACTTATTTTGATATTAGCTAAAATTGCTGTTGTGTCTGAAGAAATATTTGGATTTTAATGCCCGTTGATCAAATTATTTTGGAATCCTCACCTTCTAGCTTTGTTCTGTCTCTCTTCTTTATCTGAGTATATGATTCACTCTACAAGTGACATTATGGATAGTAAAGTTAGTTGTTTCTTGGAAACAGAGCAATCATATTGTTGCACTAAAAGTGCTATTCAAGAGTCAGCTGAAACAGTCCCAAGTTGAGCACCAGCTTCGTCGTGAGGTTGAAATACAAAGCCACCTTCGACATCCAAATATCCTGAGACTTTATGGTTACTTTTATGATCAGGTAGAATTCTACAATCTAATGCTTTACTTGTTCACTTTGTGGATTGATAAGAAGTTATAAGAGACTGATTATCACATTGTTATTGCAGAAACGGGTTTATTTGATTTTGGAATATGCTGCCAAGGGTGAACTCTACAAGGAGCTGCAGAAATGCAAATACTTCAGTGAAAGGCATGCTGCAACTGTGAGTTCTTATCTTTTCTTTTTTCAATTAGGAGATTAAGAGAATTCGTGTCAGTTGGGAGAGCAACTAGAATTATATGGATCCTTAATATGTTATATGATTTCAAACTGCTCTTCAATATATGGATCAATTTGTTATTAAATTGATCAAAATTTTTAATTTGTTTTCTTGTGGCCATGGAACAGTATGTTGCATCACTGGCACGAGCCCTCATATACTGTCACGGGAAGCATGTAATACATAGAGATATTAAGCCAGAGAACCTTTTGGTTGGTGCACAGGTATTTATTAAGCATTTCATTTTATTCTTGCTTTTGCTGTAAAAAATTATTAACTTCTATTTCTCATGGTTTCTACTTTTAGGGTGAACTTAAAATTGCAGACTTTGGTTGGTCAGTACACACCTTTGATCGTAGACGAACTATGTGTGGCACTCTAGACTATTTGCCACCTGAGATGGGTATGCACGTTATACCAGATGTAACTATATGTTCGCATTGCCTGACACAAATCTTTTCTTCAAGTTGCTTTGTGCTAACCTTCACATGCCAACATAATTATTTATTAAAGCAAAGCTCAACTGAATTACATTAGTGTGATGGTTGATTGCTGAATATTGCAGTGGAAAGTGTGGAGCATGATGCAAACGTGGACATTTGGAGCCTTGGTATCCTTTGCTATGAATTTCTATATGGGGTGCCTCCATTTGAAGCGAAGGAACACTCAGACACATATAGAAGGTAAATTTTCTCAACAAGTGGAAGCCATTAAGAGTTGCTTTTTATGAAGAATGTAAAACTGAAAAGCAAAACAGATAAAAAAAGGTCACATTGGTTTTTGGATTCGGCTAACCAAAACAAGCAGTACCAAAAGAAAGAAAGAAAAAAAACCTTGTTGCTGTTGTTATCTTGGTTTGTGATGGCGTACACAGGATTGTGCAAGTGGATCTAAAGTTTCCTTCCAGACCTATAGTCTCATCAGCTGCAAAGGATCTTATTAGTCAGGTTATTTTCAAAATTATCCAGCTGCTTTTTCAAATTAGCTACACTTATGTTTCAGCTTGACTAATTCTTAAAATCAATATTATGGAATAGCAGATGCTAGTCAAGGATTCTTCCCAACGTCTGGCCCTGAAGAAGTTACTCGAGCATCCTTGGATTGTGCAGAATGCAGATCCTTCTGGTATTTATAGGGGTTGAATACATCCTCTCACAAGTACCAATCTTGGAGCTTACTATGATTCTTTGTATTTTTTAAGAAGCTTTTTAATTTTATCAGGTAGGATAAAACATTGCCATGTAAAATAATCAAGTTGTATGGATGTCACCTGAAAATGAGAAGAATTACTTTACGAGCTTGTAATGTAGCCAGAAGTTTTTTGTTTTTTATATTCTTTTCTATTTTTTTGTATATATATCTGTCATTCTTTTCTGGCCATTTGTATATTTCTTTTCAATTCCCTAACGTGATTAACAAAAAGTAATTAACTGAGTCACCATCCTATAAATATTAGTAGTAGTTTGTTTTTATCAACTGACTGAATGAAATTATTAGTAGTACAACTACACCCTCAATCCCAAACAAGTTAAAACTGACTACATAAATCCTTATTGACCATGTTTCTTTGTTCAAGCTCAACTCATGTCATCATCATATAACAATATAAATAAAAAAATAAGTAAAAATATTAAATAATAATATTAAAGGTTCATTTTTAATAAAAAGCTGGCAATTAAAGAAAATACATGCATCTCCTAGTTATATCACGCTCTCTTTGGACTTGGCACTTCTAATTAGCCAAATGATCTTTATTAATGAGAGAGCGCAAAACACATCTCATAACACATTTATTGCTGATTTCTGTCAACGTCTCATTATAGATTTCAAGAGAGATCCAGACACAGTTTATCATTTATGTGCATACCAACATTCATCTCACTAATTAAATTTTATTACAAAGTATTCAAAAAAAAGTGTAATTTCAATTCATGTTACTGTGAGGCAGACCAAAAGCTTCAAAGTTAGCAAGAGACCACTGCACAGGCAAATGATGAAAACAACAGTTACTTTAGTGGCATGTAAAGTGCGTTATTTCGTGCCGTCCTGGTGTCTTAGTGACCTGAGTTCTCATGTACATTGTTATCCCCATCCAACAACTGAGTTTGCGGCTGCTCCTCATTTTTAACCTCTTCAACATCTTTCGGGCACAAGAAGCTTGGCTGATTGGTTGACGAAAGAAGACGTGCCCACATCCTGTCAGTTATAACCACCATATTTTGCTTCTCGGTTATACGCTGCACACAAAAATGTTGGTTAAACATATAAGATGGCGCATCCATGGAAATAAGAATTCAACGGCTCTAAGCCTTCATGGCAAATCAAATGCCCTTTTTGGAACCTGAAATAGCTTGACAGAATTACTTTAAGTTCCCCATTTCATGAACCAAATCAAAGCAGAGTAGGTGACGAATGGAGGTGCTAAATACACTACGTTTGGAATTGTAATAGTGGTGTTCATATCGGTTATGCTAAGTGATATTAGAAAAAGAAAGATGCATTATTTCCCTTAATCTCGAAAAAAGAACAAACCACTCCTGAGCTTCCTTTTGAGGAAAGGACATGCATCAACTCCCCACTACAGACATGTAGAGACTAAGTTATTCAATATCACTAATATACTTGTGGGATGCTTTTATTTTTGAAAAGGAAAAGAAAAATTGATAAGGAAGTGGGATGCTTTTATTAACATCATAGAAATACATCTGTTTTCCAAAATAGAACAAAATTTTCCGGTAACTGGTTTAACATGTTGAAAGTCCCTGGAACAATCTCTTCTGGAATTAGGAGAACTTGCGAAAAACTAAACAATGAGTCCAAATGTGCATGTGGCCGGAGAACTGATCACAAAGTAGAAAATAAAAAGAATTTAAGAAACAGTTGCATCCTTAACCTAAAATGAAAATTTCAGCTATTGACCCAGAAGCTGATAAAGAAAAGCACCTATGAAACTGAGCATAAAATGCCAGCAGAATGTTCTTAAAGGCACTCATAGCTCATGAGGTGTGCCTTCACATGTGCCTAGAGAAGAGCTGATGCCTAACTGTCTCGAGGCAGTCAAATGAGAAGAAAAACCTGGGAGATTTTTCGCCTTTTGCCAATTCTCACGTGCCTTCTGCCTGGTTTTTTTTTTTCAAATGCAAAAAGAGGATGTTTGAAAGGGTAACTTTAGGATGTTTATTAGTAACCAACATTTTATGTGCATGTTAAGGAAACATGGAAATCTAATGTTGTTTACCGTAAAATTTTAAAAATAAAACATTATGGGAGTAACCTAAAATATTCAGTTTTCATGGTTTTCATTATTTTTTTTCCATCGTTAAGCAGTTTAAACAATTAAAGCTGACATTGACAAAATGATAATAGTTGAGATCCGCATGTCATTCACCCTTAAGCCTTCAAGCCTCGCCTTACACATTCCCTTAGAGAGCTCTGGGAGTTTGGCAAAGTAGTTGTTATCACTAGCAGCAAGACCCCAAAAGTAGGACTCCGAGAGGTACAGGTATGGAAATTCTCAAGATCACGTCCGCCAAAAAGACAGCCAAGATTCCAGAAGAAAGCTAAACAAGTGAACACAGAACAACTTACATTGAATGGAATATAAGTCTGGCGACCGTTGACAAGCCCTGAGGTGTAACCTGTGTACCCTGCCATTGCTCCATGAACACAACTTTGAGCAAGAAGCGTGCAATATACATTGTCAGAGGCATTACTTGGAACAGCACGAATCATGTAAGTGGGATCTGGAAAAAGCTTTAATTAGCTCGATATATTTCGCAACAAATCAACTAATTAGGATGGTTGGAATTTCATACCTATATATTTAAGAGTAATGGCCATCTTGGGCTTTTTAGCAAAATGATCCTACAACAAGAAAACAAAGTGGTGAGTATAAAAACAAGACAACATAGATTCCTCTTTAATTCAACTCAACCGTGACTTTTCCATGGACTTTACCATTTCCCACAGATTTGGACAACGGTAATGTTTTAAAAGTGACATTAATGTAAGACTTATGCAGATTGCTCATCAGGGTGCTTTGCACCACGAAGCTAGAAAATTTTCATCAGTGCAATTAGGCATTAGCTTAACCATAAAGCAGAACGTTCAACAAAAATGTTACAGTTCCAGCCACTTTACATCATCTACACCAACACACAACTCAGTTTTGATAGATGAGTATTAACTGTAAAACATTCAAGAATAAATACCTAGTAACACATAAATTTGATTAATGCATTGGCTATTTTCTTTTAACTTAAATGGCATTGTCTTCATTAGAGGCATATGCCTACTAGCGATAATGTGGTTATCATATGGTAGGAGTAATTATGTGGTACAAGTTCTTGTTCTTTATTTAAATCCTTAGATGAATACTTCCCATCTTTCTAGGAACAGGGTAGAAGTTGAACGTTATACTCCTTTATTGGTTGGAATTAATTTGCAATTTAGACAATGAACATAGCACTACTGTCAAGACAAATCTGCACCAAGTGGAGACAAACACACCTACAGACAGACGGACAGGCAGATATTTCTCAGTTTAACAAGAACTTAAAAAGGGAATTCATGAGTTTTACAACCATTACCCTGATTTTCTGGGAAATCCACAAACCAACATCTTGGAGAAGCTTGTTCCCTGAAGCATCTTGTTCGTTTTTGGCAAGCGAATTTTCTGCGGCAAGAAGTTCTTGTCCTGCTCCTTCGGCTATCACAATAACCATGTGCCCATTTTCTTTGAGCCGTTTCTCGATGTATTCGTATAATCCACCATCTCCTTCAAGATAAAAGGGCGACTCTGGAATTAAACAGCAATCAACATCTCTGCTCGCCAAAGTGGCATACATTGCGATGAATCCTGCAATAAAAAATCCAGAAATTTGAACTAAGCCTGGAAAAGTTTAAAAAGATAAGCATTGAGAAAATAACTTTTCAGGGAGTATTATTTTTTTGATAAGTAATTTAACAGGGCATTGTCTCTGAGATCACTACAAATTATAAGTTATGCTCCACATGAAAATGATTATCCTAGAGGTTAGACAAACTCACTTTATTATTTTTTACCTATTAATGCTTCAATCCATCTAATGACCAGCTTCTGGAACTACCAAAACGAGAAGAGCTATTTTCTTTTAAGAGCAAGATTAACCGACAATGTGTAAGAGATGTTATGCCATAGAGACGAACAAAAAAATGCTCTTCATGAGAACTTGGAAAAGAAACAGTCCAAGTCCAAGTTCTTCCTGCTCTTCATTGGTTTGTACGTCCTTTTGACTAGTTTCGAGTTGCTCGGCGCCGATTTGAGGTGTTAGTGAGGTGTGAGAGCCGAGTAGTGGAATTAGAAGCAAGGTAAGTCTCTTGCCTAATCTTGTAAAAGGAAATTATACCCGTAGGTATTTTATTTGTTATGTGCTACGTGTTATGGGTGTTACGTACGTGGTAGATAGTTTGAAAGGAAAAGAATGCCAGGTGTTTTGAAGACAGAAGCAGTCCAATTCAGAAGTTAAAGATGAATTGTATTCTGTTGTTTCACTTTTAGTGTAAGGAAAATTATGTGAATGATGAAGAATCGATTTTAGACATCATAGAATCCTTGTAAGAAGAACAAGGATAAGTTCTGGCTTCTTTTGAATCTGTAAATGGTTACCAGCACAACCTTTGTGCTGGTTTCTTTTTTATACTATGTAACTGTTACCTTTGTCAAAAAAAAAAAAAGAACTTGGAAAGAAACTTGCCATAAGTCATAACTAGGCTATAGGCATTATGTAATAAAATTTCAAGGTGCACAATACCACTATAGCGCCCCATTAGCTTCACCACACCAATACCATTCTCAGCACTTTCAGCTTCAACATGAGCTGCATTTATGGCACGTTGAGCCTCCTCTACAGCAGTATCAAAACCAAATGACTTGTCAATGACCTGAAAACAGAAACAAGTTTTATTTATTTTAATGAAGAGCTCTATTAACATGAAATTGCCTCGATCAAATACGAGCTGGAACACTCAAAATGAGGCTTTTGAAGACATCACATCAAGTAATGTGCTGTGGAATACATTTATGTTTCCCATTTGCAAGAACATAAAACTGTACTTCCTGAGATAGTTAAACTGTTTATTATATGAAATAAAAGAAAAAAAATCATTTGGTATGTGAAGAGATGAAAATTACAGGAATATCATTATCAATTGTCTTGGGGATCCCAGCAACAACTACTTTGAGACCACGCCGCCTAATTTCCTGCAAAATGGTAGTAGGATTCTCTAATAAGTTTCCCAGAGGATAAGTACTATTTCATCAAACGAAGTATTGAGAACACCCAAAACAAGG